CATTCAATTCTAATCGTTATTACGTTCAAATTACATTCTAAAATTTCACCGTCAATCAACTCATTATTTGAAAAACCTTTTTCGCTTAATCTGAGGCTAGTTTTAGTTTTGTTCTGGAAGAATTATTTTTCAATGTTATGAGCACAACATACCTAAGGGGCGCGAATTGCATGATTTTCTTCTTATGACTCGCATGAAAGCGGAAAGAAGCTGAAAAAGTTTGCAAAATCAGTGGTTATAATCCCAGATTTACAACGAATGTTAGGTAAAGTGGTGGCTTAAAAGTTTTGAAGGACAGTGAGAACCCCGACGACGGCGAGAGTGGTGGTCGGATATTAACCTCTTAACGATCATTTGAGTTTTAATTCACGCAGTGCTGCACAGTGCTGGTGAAGCTCGCTCGTGAATCAGATGCAACGGATGGTTCACAATTGTCTGAGGGGAAGGGGTGGAAACTGTTGGAAAGTCGATGAATAAGTACCGGAGAAAATTGTCATGTGGAATCGCTGCCTCCCATTTTTCACCTTCTTCAATGCAACGAGAACGCTCGATTTTCTGTTAGGTTGACACGCGAAGTAAGAAGGATTCGTCACATTAACCGGCGAGTTTCTGCTCAGAGTCGACGCGAGGGCGGAAGTGGTGTAGTGGCAAGTGGCACGCTTACCACGCGAGCGGTCCGGGATCAAATCCTGGGTCGTGAGTCGCCGGGCCAACCAAGCCTTCCATCCCTCCGGGGTCGGTTAATTGGTACCAGACTTGTCTGGGAGGATAAAAACACTGACTTGAACATCGGCTGGCCCCCGCAAGTCATTGTATAGGCCACATCGCATTCAAACGCCACTACGAATGTACAAATGGAAGTAGAATGCGTGCCGCAAGGGATTGATCAACGGCAAATGCTTTATCCTTTATCCTTTTAGTTCGACCGCGATCAAGCTCTACAAAACTTCGCCTTCCTGAAAGTGCACGCTTCGCCATCCTGAAAGTGCACGCATGGTAAACGTTTTGTGGCTTGCGTCTGGTCCAACTCTACCAGTCGAAATTGCTCCGATGGAAAAGAGGTACTCCCAATGGAATGCTCTGAGGCCGCCTATGACCATTCAAAGGAATAATACATAAATGGTGGACCTAATAAACGCTGATCTCTCACTTTCTGAACGATTTTCCGAATAGGGTTGTGAAGCGGTAGAGGCGAAGTTAGTGGTCCGGATTCTAAGGCAAGACATGAAATCAGGTCCGTCGGGATGATAATTCTTTACTTTCATAAGATACACTTCAAAAGAGTTTTTTACTCGTCATTTCGACACTGCTTGTTTATATTACCCATACAATAGCGTTACGGAGAATGTCTAGGCCCCATTTTACCCATGGCTGCTCATAATCCTGCGCAAAATCGTTGCTCGAGTTTATTGTATTACGACTCCTTTCAAGGGTATAGTATGGAAAACGCGGTTTTAAAGACATGGAAAAATATTGCGACAAAAAAAAAAAAAAGAAAGCAAAGGATTAAACGTGCAAAGGGATTAATTCACCAAACTTGTCTAGGAGCCTACACTATCCCGCTGCGCTTTACGGCTTCGTAACTGTTCCAAATCATCGGGGGCATGGGCTGCGGCAGTTCATATCCCTTGAAGAAATTAGCAAGGGAAGGAAGCTTTGGGGTGAATGTAAAAGCGGAAGCAGTGGAAGCAAAAACAGCA